ACAATTCCTTCATCCTACTGAGCACCTACTGTGTGCCAGGCACTGGGCTGGGGGCTGAGGATTTACTGATGAACAAGACAGACCCAGCCCTTCCCCTCATGGGGTTTGAGATGGAAATAGGTATGAAGTCAATAATCACACAAACACCCAGATTATTACAGAGACTCTGGCCTCTGGAAAAGTCCAGGACTCTATGGCTCATGTGTATAACTACGGTGCAGAAGTGATGTGTCAGCAAAGATCTGAAGGACACAACAGGCGGGGACAGACTTGGCTCTTGACATTTCATTCATCTCTTTACTCCACTTTCTGGTGGAGATGGCTAGCTTAAAAATACGTTCCTCTCTCATCCATCCACCCGTCCATGCACTTGCCCACCCACACACCCATCCATCAAACAGATATTTGAGGAGCCCTATTCAGTGCCAGGCCCCAGCAAGGCGTTTTTACCCTCCCCAGCCTCCACGGTCTGCCACTGCCTGAAGTAATGCTTAGCTCATGCATACTGATGGCCAGATTGATGGGCATCTGTGTGTGGCTAGGCCTTGCCTCTGGCCTGAGAGCATGTGTGGACACCCTTGTGTTGGTGTGTGCCAGCAGCTCAAGCCAAAGGGTGCCATCTTGCCCATCCCCACTACAAATGGGCTCCTCCCTCCCCCTCACTATACAAACCAAGAGCCCCAGTCCTGGTACTCACCAGAATCTCATCCTGCAAAGAGGTAACCATAGCAACCATGAAAAGCCTCGGGAGAGAGGACAGAGGGCTACTGAGGCAGTGGGAAGCGTGTGGCTGGCAGCTGGCAGGCTCCCTGGCTCCATGGGACAATTCCACTTCGGGGAGGGGGCTCTCAGAGCTTGGCGTCCATTCAGCACCCTCCATCCCTCGGGCTGGGGCACCGGGGCTCATCTGGTTGCTTCTCTGCTGAGCACTAATGGGGAGAGAGGGAAGCGTCTCAGAATTTCTCCCCTCAAGAGGCCCAGCTCCATTGCCACTGCTCAATGGGCACCAAACCCAAAAAACAAAAATCATATGGTCATATCAACAGATGCAGAAAAAGCATTTGACAAAATATTCAAGACTTGAATGTCTAGAATAAGTGTCTAGATCTGAAGAGACAAATTGTTTCATCAACTATTAAATATTAGGAAAATATTAAAAAAAATAAGAGATGAATGTGCAGATACTGAAGTAATTAATGAAAATTTTGTAATGAAAATCCAAACTGGAGTTAAAATAAGGAATAGCTTAAAATTATGCTTATGGTTATTTTACTTTTGGGAATGCATAAAAGAGAACAAAATCAAGTTTTTTTATGACCTGCAAGTATTATGCAAAGTAAAATAAACACTGTATACTATTCATTGCCTATATGGCCTAAAGAATCTTTTAGCTACTGGTATTAAATTTTCTTTCACTAACCAACATAAAAGAGTTGACTAAGACATGGACACCTGCTTCTAATTAGAGCAATTTAAATAATCCAATGAAAATGTGGCCCTTGATTCTGATGTAACAATTTTGGGGGTTAAGGATCAAGGAGAAGTAGGCTCTACTTCTAGTAAAAGGAATATATATAGAGAGGGTAGGCACCCTAAAAACACTGACAATTTTAAGGCACATTTCCTGCTAGTTGGCATGATGTATTGAGACCTAAGTGAAATTCTCAGCTTTTCGATTTTGTAAATTAAAATGGAGGCCCACTGTAGCAAAAATGATTTAATATTGTAGCAACAGTGGCTACGTACATCTATCCAATGGAAGAATGCATTAGATAGCCATGAACCCAGAATCCTTTCAGATTCAAAGGTGGGACAATAGGGGGCAGATGATTTTGGCAGAATGTCGTCTTTGCCTAAATTACTTAGATTATTTTATTTTTTTAAGAGTCTGGTGTGGCATGCTGCTTTTGAAGATACCAGTTAGATGACTTAGGAATGACTGTTTACTTCTCCCCTTATTACTTCTAAATAATTGTTAAACCAACTAAAATGCTTAGTAATCAGCATTATGTGTAATCTCTCTTAAGTCAGGAACAATTATAATGCACATCTCTATTTTGATTTAGTAGTTGAATTGTCTTTGACTAAAATGTAACAAGCTTAGTATGTCTACTAAGATAAACATGACAGATTAACTAACACAATAATTCTCATTCCAAGAAAAAGAAAACACAAGTACAGATGGATCAAAAAATTCAAGAGGAAGTTGAAATTCAGAGTTTTTCTGAAATTGTGCCATTAACATAATAGTGAGAAGATGGATTCTCTCATGTACTATTGATGGAAGTATAAATTTGTATCACCTTCTAGGAGGGCCATTTGGCAATACTTAACAGCATTAAAATCCACATATTCACGTCTAGAACTATGTCTCACAGATAAATTCATTAAGTGAGCAAAGATGTATGTACAGGGTGTTCGGTATAGTTTGTAACAGAGAAAAATTGAGAGCAAGCCAATGGCCATCGGAAGGTGAAATAGGTTATGCTACCCTCCGAACAATAAAGCTGTTCAAAGAATGAGGACAATTTCTAGGTTTTGGCATGGGAAGATCCTCTTTGCAAATGGTTAAGGGTGATGGGATTCGTAATCGGGTTGTGGTGAGAGTGACATTCCTGATGCACAGGCTGGGTTCAGACCCAGGAGCTGCTGCTTCCTGTGAGCCTGGAGCCTGCACTCACTGAGCCTCAAGTTCAAAGCAAGTGTTTCTGCCTCATAGGAGTGGGAAAGACACAACGAGATGAGGCAGGTGACATATCTGACATGTAACAGGTGCTCGACAGACGTGAGCTCCTACAATTACCTTTAGAGAAGAAAGGCATGCCACATAGCATGATTGTGGCTCTTTAAGATCAGCATGGAATCTAAATCTGTGGGTGCCTAAGGAGAATGCCTGGAAGGGGACACACCAAACTGTTAATGGGTATTTTGTGGGAGGGACTGGGGGCAGGGGGAGTGAATGGAGGAGCGTTACTTGTAATTGAATCACTTCTATATTAATTGAATATTTTATTGAATCTTTATCACTTTTATAATTAAAAAGAGACCAAGAAACATTTAAAAACAAGATCAACCACAAAAATGTGAGTGATTGGGAGGTGGCTGGAGAGCTGTTTGTAAGAGCATGGGCTCTGAACAACAGGGCTGCCGGCTCGGTTTCCACATGAGCCAGTAAGCTGTGACCTCTACAGCTGAAAAAAAAAAAAGAAAGAAAAATGTGAGTGATTGGGAACAGTGCCATTATGGAAAAGGAATGTGTAAAGATAGGGTCTGGGAATGGTAGCCAGAGGTGGTCACAGACAGAAGGATGACAGAGATGAGTAAGGAAAGAGGAACAGCCTGTGAGCTTTGTGAAGGCCGTAAGGAGGGCCCACCCATCTCTCCTCGCAGCTCAGAGACAGCATTCAGTAATAGTGTTTGTGGTTGAATGAATGAATATTTGATAAATGACTACATAAAAGGAAGAGGGGTGGCCATGGCAGGGATAAGGTGACCCAGAGAAATAGTAAATAGAGAGAAAAGCACGAATAGAGATGACCAGAAGATAGACAGCCAAAAAGCTGAGAAGCAGATGGTGGAAATGTAAAATGGTGCAGCGCTGTGGAAGTCAGGATAGTGGTTCCTCAAAAAATTAAACATAGAACTACCATATGATCCAGCAATTCCACTTCTGGGTATGCACCCCTAAGAATTGAAAGCAGGGTCTCCAAAAGATGCTTGTGTACCAATATTCATAGAAGGATTATTTACAATAGCCAAGAAAAAGGCGGAAACAACCCAAACAGATAAACAAAATGTGGTCTATACATACAATGGCATATCCTTCAGTCTTAAAAAGAAAAAAAATTCTGACACACGCTACAATATGCAGGAATCTTGAGAACATTTTGCTAAGCGAAAGAAGCCAGACACAAAAAGACAAATGTTGCATGCTTCCACTTATATGAGGTATCTAGAGTTTTCAAATTCATGGAAACAGAAAGTTCCAGGAAGAATGTTGGGTGCCAGGTTTGGGGGGAAGGGGAATGGGGAATTAGTATTTCATGGGGACAGAGTTTCGTTTTGAGAAGATGAAAAAGTTCTGGAAATGGATGGTGGTGATGGTTGCACAACAATGGGAATATATTTAATACCAGAGAACTGCACACTTGAAAACAGTTAAAATAGTACATTTTGTTATATGTACCTATATACTATATGAGAGAGATGAGAGAGAGAGAGAGAGAGAGAGAGAGAGAGAGGAAGTTGGTATGAGGATAGATAGTATGAGGGAGGCTGAGAAAGAAGAGACAAAATGGGAAGAAGGAAGATAGCCCAGGGACCTGATGAAAGGCTAGGGAAGAGGGGCTGGGGATATGGGCTCACCTGCTCCTTGGTACGACCCTCGCACTCCCAGATGTGGGTGATCACAATGCGTTGCATCTTTTCCCACAGCATCGTTATTGCTGGAGCTGGGGAAGTGTGGGAGGAGAGAGAGCCACGTACAAAGGAGGCATGGGCAGGGAGCACGCAAACCCCACCAGGGTCCGGGGGCATGGGGTGGAGGCACACAAAGAATGCCCGAGAGCAAGGGGAGAGAGACCTGGGGTCCCAGCAAGCTGATGGCACCGAGCCATGGCCACCCCTTTCCCCCAAGTGTGGGTTCCAAATGACAATTCCAGGGTTTTTCTGGTTCCAGGCCCTCTTCATCCTCCTACCTGGGCAACTTCGAGGAGGAAGGCAGTTCCCATGGGCAGAAATGCCATGGGAATCAGTTTGCTCTTCGGCTGCCATCTTGGTGGCAGCCATCTTGGAAACAGACATTCCACTGAGGCCTTTGCTTGGGGGATCATAAGCTTCCAAAGCTTTCACTGACCCTCGGGGCGACCCCTTGCCTTCTCAAAGCCTTAGTGGGACAGTCAGGTGGGGAATCAAGCAGATAATTCCTATCCAGGAAGAATCTGGGGAGGGCAGGGCCTAAGGTGTCCCCTAAATCAGGCTGGGGACATGCAATGCTTCTTGTCAGAGCTGGGAGACAGGGGAAAACCAGCAGTCACACAAACTACATGCATAAGCCACAGGCACCATCAAGCAAGGGTGTGGGGACATGCGGAATGGCTTGCCAGCAGCATGAGCAGTACCCCGTGGGGGCCTGGCTGGGCCCCTGGCCCTCTTAGTAGAATCCACCTGGTTTAGCCTCCCTTTGCATGCTCCGGCCTGGTACCCTCATCCCCAGCCATGTATGGCTGGCCCTGAGCTGGCCAGCTAAACTGTCTTTACCCCACTTTTCTGGGGTTAGGTGCTCAGTGCCATCCATTTCCCCTGTTTTTATCAACTGAGGCTGAAGGGGAAGTTACTGCATCCCTTCCTCTCTGCCTGTGAACTCTGCCCTCAGCTCAATCAGGCTCTGGACAAAGTCCAGGTTGACGCACTGTCCAAGACACTGTTGGATGTCACCTCCATCTGAAAGCCTGCTCTGACCACCAAGAGCTGGGTAAAGAGTCTCTCTGTGCCCTGTTACCTTGCCTCATCAAACTGTATTGTAATTGCCCTGAAGGCAGGGGCGGGGCCAGGTGCACCACCAGTGCTCAGAGAGGGCACGCTGAAAGAATGAGGGGATGGGTGGATGGATGGATGTCTTTGTCCTCCTTGCCACAGTGTGCAGACGTGGGTTCCTCTGCCCTCTGCCTCATGAACAGGCAATTCCTTGAGGAGGGAGACTCGCTGAGTAGCTGATGATTGGAGACCAACCACAGGGACCTCCAGTCCTGCAGGTCAATCCTTCCCGCTTGGTGGCCATGTGGGGCCCAAGTGGGGCAAAGCTAGACCCACTCTTTGTCCCTCTTCTCATGCCTGGATCAGGCCCCTCAGGTGGATCTCCCTATATGGGAAGAGAGCTGGAGGTTAACATGACTGGGTCACAGATAGTGATTCTGAGGGCAAGATGGATGCCAAGGAGATGGGGTGGGGGCACTGGGAGAGACAGGAGGATAAGGAAGAAAGCAGTGCCCAAGAGAGGCAGATGTGAGAGATGTCACATCGTCCCACCCCACCCCCACCCAATCACTGCATCATCTGTGGCTATGCCAAAGGTGTGGCTGATGTGGTCAAGCACAAGGGAACTGGGGGAGCGGCAGCCTTAGACGAAGGGCTGAAAAACAAAACCCCAGTGGACCCTACTGCTTCATGAGGCTCAAGTTGTTCCCACTTCTTTCCGAAGTCTCCAATTTGAAGCAGAGATTTGGGAGCCGAGTCACAGCCATCAGGCCTCCTCTGACTTAGTCCCAAGTGCTCTCTCCTAGGGTGGGGCTTTGCAGAGGAGGGGGAAGGTGGGCAAGTAGGGTGGAAGAGGGAGCAATTTGCCAAAGAGCGTGACCAGTTCTCCCACTAACCGCCTGGCTTTGTGAAGTTTTCCACGTTTCATACGGTAGGGCAGCCTCAGTTCCTTTGAGAAGTCCTGTTCCATTTGACCATCTTTTTCCATTCTGGATGCCCCCGAGCATTTCCAGGACTTTTAGCCCGTTTTTAAAATAGAACTTTTCTCTCTCAGTCCTTCCCTGAGCAGAGCAGTCAGCCTGGAGCCCACCAGTTAGCGGTCAGGGGCAAAGTCCCTGGAGCCACATGGCCCTGGGTTTAAAGCCAACCCCTGCCCTGCTGACTCTCCTTTGAAAAGCGACTCGTCCTCTCTGAGCCTCAGTTTCTCCATGTGTAAAATACAGTAATGATGGCACTTTCACTCTAATGGTTGTGGAGAAAACTGAGCAGCAATCACATGCCTGATATTAAACTCTAGATTTCATCCAGAGATGAAAACTAATCCTGGTAGGGATAGGAATAATGAGAGCTGACTGTTTTTCAAACCTCTGGCAGGAGTGGCTTGCTAAATTTAGCAGTGAGAAACCAAACAACTCGTTTCACTTTGTTGCGATATTTGTTTTATTGCGGTAATCTGGAACAAGAACCCGCAATATCTGCCAGGTCTGCCTGTGCAGTCTTCCATCGTCTGTGTGATACTTTATATACTCAATCCCCTCTTGATGGACATCTGGGTTGTTTCCAAACTTTTACCATTAACAATAATTATTGCTTTCCTTTTGAAAGCAATTCAGCAAAGTGTTCCACGGTTTTTAAATGTTTATATCTAGTAATCGGTCTTCTAAGAATCTATCCTAAGGAAATAATCCTCAAGAAAAAAAATAAACTTCTTTATAGATAAAGGTGTTCATTGCCAGGTTATTTATAATATTGAAAAACTGAAGACAATTTAAATGCTCTCCAACAGAAAAATGGTTAAGTACACCATGATAAATCTATTCAAGACAATATTACACAATCATTAAAAATGTTTATATAGACTATGTAATAATAGTGCATATTATTAAGAGAAAAAGCAGGATGCTAATACATTCACAGTATGATTACATTACAAAATAAGCAAACCCGTGTATAAAGAAAAGCTTTGGAGGAATATAAACTCGTGAAAACTTTTTGGAAGGCAATCTTGCAGAAGTGACCAAAATTGTGAAAGCTTATATTCATTGACTAGGTAATTCTATATTTAGAAATCTGCTCTAAAGAAACAACAAGATAGGGACTTCCGGTAAGATGGCGGAAAAGACAGACGCTGTACCGACTGCCTCCCAGGATCACACCAAAATTACAAATAATTTATAAGATATTCAACCTCGGAAGTTCCCTGGACCCTAGATGAACAGAAGCTCTAAACGAAGGACTTAAAGAGGAGGCCACATCGAGTACGGTAGGAGGGGCGGAGACGAGAGAGAGCGAACCCCGTGAGGGACACAGCGGTGGGGAGGCTTCTCCGGTTCGGGGCGAGACTCTCCGGCCCCACACCGCGCTCACCACCCCAGAGTTACGTTGCCGGGAAGAGGAGTTCTACCATAGCTGGAAGGAGAAAATAGTGAGGACTCTCTTTGCTCGGCTCGGTGAGGCTGGGGGCGTCTGGAGAACCAGCAGAGCCGGCAAACCGACTCGCTCGCTAGTGAGCACTCACCCGGTTCCTGGTGGAAGGAGTAGCTTTGTGAGCAGGGCCCAGGAGCCTCCGGGAAGGACTGAACTGAGTGCCTTTGGCACGGGAGCTGGAGGTTTTCGGGACTATTGTTCCCCTGGTGTGGAGCTTGCACAGGAGGCCGCCATTTTTTCAGGGCTGTGCCCTCCCACAGAGGCTCAGGTCTGGGACTGCATTGGTCGCTGGAATTGGCGCAGGAGTGCGTATGTGTGCGTGCGCCAGTGCGAGCGAGCGAACGAACGTGCGCGCGCGCGCGCGCATGCGACCTTGGATCCCCACCCTCCATATTGTTTGTGCTGCGTAGCCAAGGAAACGCCGGGCAAGCATGCTCTGACTCCAACAGACTGCTTATTGAGACCCGGAAGTGCGCGACTCGCCTTAGGTACCCGATTTCCGCACTGCGCGTGCAGAGTTGCCTGGGTGGCAATTGGCTGTCGGGCTGCTCGGCCTGATCTTTGAGCGGCTGATTGGGACAGGCTGAGACTGGGAGTTTTCCTGGGTGTGTAGGGCCGCGAGTTGTGCGCCTGCGTGATTCAGCCTGGGCTTTCCAGGCGAGTTTGTGTGGGTTGGCTGCTGATGCAGGAGTGCATGCTGCTGTGACTTGGTGGGGGCCACTGACCATACCCTGTGGTGCCTTGGGGGCCTGCCCCGCCCACCTAGAGCTGTGTTTCCAGGGGCACCCTGAGCCCCTGGTCCCTGGCTCCTAACTCTGCAGGCCACAGAGGGTTTTTTGCAGCAGCAGACAGCCCGCAACAACCTGTGAGGATTTTTGGTGGTGAGCACGGTTCCAGAGCACACAGCAACTAATTGTGGGAAGCTCACTTCAAGTCTAGAGGGAGGTCGGCGCATGATGCACTGAGCCCTTCCCCCCAGCAGCTGGTGCTCAGTCGCCCAGAATCTCTCTATTGCTGAGCAAGTGGTCTGCAGATTAAAGCGGGCAGAGAGCCCCCGCTCCTTTTTTTCTTTTTTTTTTTCTTTTTCTTTTTTCTTTCTAGGTGATCTAATACATCAAAGCAATCACAGTGACAGCCAGAATGAAGAAACAAAGAAACATGTCCCAAGTAAAAGATTAGAAGACACCTCAAGAAGTGGAACTAAATGAAACAGAGGTATCCAACCTCTCAGAGACAGAGTTTAGAACACTGATGATAAGGATGTTTCAGGAACTTAAGGAGGACATAAAGAAGGATACAGAAGTCATAAAAAAAACCCAGGTAGAACTAAAGAATACAATAACTGAAATGAAGAACACACTCGAAGAAACAACAAGGTAAGTACTATGAATACATCTATAAGGATGTTCACCGCAGCACTGTTGTAAAAGAAAACAATAGTTTGGAGCAACCTAAATGTCTGTCAATAGGATATTGACTATATATCTATCTATCTATATATGTATCTATCTATATCTATCTATCTATCTATCTATCTATCTATCTATATCTATATATATATATATATATATATATATATATATATGACGTATGCCACATTTCCACGGGGGGATACAATTCAGCCGTTCAAGGGCATGCTCTTTACATAGCTACATACAAGGATTCCACACTGCTCAGTAAGAAGGAAGAATTCATGGGTCAGTGTGTGTAGTGTGATTCTATTTAGGATCAAACTGGTGTGTATTTGTAATTAGGATCGGTGTGCTGTTAGCAGTCTTTCACTCTAGAGTTATGGGATTATAGGAACTCTTGCTTTCTCTGTGCTATTGGAATATTTTTATCACAATCATGTGTGATCAAAACAAAATCAATGCTGATAATTTTATTTTTTTGAAAAAGGAGTATACTGGGAGGAAACGTACAGAATTCGCAATAGCGGCTCTCTGGAAAGGAAGGGTTGTTGCCTTCTTTTTACTCTTTGGCATTTTCCAAATTTTCTTTAATTGAGAATGTATAACTTTTATAATTGAAAACCAAAGTTTAATAAAATTTTAGTTATAGTTTGTCTTTCATAAAGGGATTTGTGGCAGCTCGAAACACACGAGATATTTTTCAAAGTTTGACAAAAGTAAGATTGTGTTGCTTAGTATGCACGATGGTGAGACCATGACTTACACCACGAAAACTACTACAGCATGGGTGAGTCCAGCCCGGGTTTGATTCCACCTGGAATAGGCGCTGAGTGGATGCTAATTTGCTTAGTCTATCCCCACTTGACACAAAAGTGAGCAAAAAGGAGACAAGATTGTGAAAGGGACGCACATGACTAATTGTGTATGAGCCATGAAACTGTGATAATTGTTTGAAATGAAGTTAAGGAAGTTGTGCTCTCATCTCCCCAGAACAGGGAGTTTTTCGAATACAGACCAGGCTGAACCCTCCCCCAGAGATTCTGGTTCAGGCTGCTTTTGCAGGAGAGGAGTTGGCATTCGATTCTGAAAAGGCTCCCCAGGCAAGTGATGCTCCTGCACTCCCCTGGGAAGAAGTGCTTCAGACAATCTGGCCAAAAATCATCCAAACGCCCCAAAGCAGACAGATAGGAAAAGGCATCTACAAGGTCACAGACAACTCAAAAGAGGCTGACCCTGCCAAATGCGTTATGGATTACTGTCAAGTGAGTAATCTATATGCTTTTAGGCCAATTGGTGTTGAGGGACTGAGATAGTCTCCCACCCCAGGAGGCCCTGATCTCAGATCTCTACCCTCGACCTCCCTAATCTGAGTCCCACTCGACTTCTCTTTACTGAGACTCAGTTTTATCATCTGTGAAACTGGGGTAATACTACCATTTCTTGGGCTTGTTGAGAGGATTAAGTCAGATAACAGGGCAAGCACCTAACCCAGTGCTTGGCACATAGTAGGCGCTCAGTAAATAGCAGCCATCTTCTTATCATCATCCTTGTCATTGTCATTCTTTTTTAAAGATTTTTATTGGGGAATTGGGGGGATGGGAACAGTGCTGGGGGATTG